CAACGTGCACTCCGGGCTCCGAGGACCCCAGCCTCTGTCCTCTTAAGTTCCAAGTGTCTCACAGAACTGTCCAAGTGGGGATGAGAGACCACTCAGGACCCAAACGAAGACGCCCAGGTCAGGGGATGTCTAGGAAGGAGCTGGTAACCCAGGGAGAGAAAAGGGCAAAGAGGTGTGGAGACAGAGATGTAGGGGGAGCCATGGAAGAGCCATGGAGAGCATGGAAGGGAGGGCAGGGTCTGACAGGAGGCACCGTCCAGCCGTCCAGAAAATCCACAAAATTCACCTGCAAACGCACAGCTTCTTCCTGGTGGTTTCACAAATGTGACAGTACACTTCATTTATGGAGTGCTGGGTTCGGGGACCTGGTGCATCCTAGGTAAGTGCTCTACCACTGGACCACATCCCCCGTTTCCTCACTGGGGATTCTAGGCAGGGGCTCTACCACTGAGCCACGCCCCCAGCCCCTCATTGGGGGATTCTAGGCAGGGCTCTACCACTGAGCCACGCCCCCAGCCCCTCACTAGGGGATTCTAGGCAGGGGCTCTGACACTGAGCCACGCCCCAGCTCCTCACTAGGGGATTCTAGGCAGGGGCTCTACAACTAAGCCATGACTCCATTCCCCTTACTGGGGGATTCTAGTAAGGTGCTCTACCATTAAACTCTTCCAAGCCTTCACTGAGGGATTCTAAGCAATTGTTCTACCACTGAGCCACACTCAGAGCTCCTTAGTGGGGGATTCTAGGCAGGGGCTCTACCACTAAACCACACTCCCAGGCCCTCACTGGGGGATTCTAGGCCAGTGCTCTCCCAGCCTTGTTTGTTTTTGAGACAAGAGTCTCTGGAGTGCTGAGATTACAGATGTGAACCACCACACAGCTAACTACACACCTCAGAATGTCTTAACAACTTATCCCATCCAACATGTAAATCCACCATACCCATTTGCACACACAGTTGGGCACACGGCCTACATACACACTCATGTGACATGCATGCACATAAATGCTATAGGGTATGTCCTCCACAACATGCAGGGTTAGAGCACCACACACCCAATTGCTAGAGATAACCCTATGGACACAGGCATAGACAGACAGACAGACAAACACTCATTGGGTGGGTGGGGGGGCTGTTGAGAGCGATCGAGCCTAACATCAAGTAGGAACTGAATGAATGAGGACATGAAAGACATTTGGCACAGTCTGACAACAGTCAATAAACACATTTGGGGGAAGGGGAACCCCATTCCTCCATGCAAACAGCTCCAACCAGACATCAGCCTGTGGGGGCCAGAGTTCTGGGTCCTCCTGTCACAGAATCAACACTGGGGCAGCAAGACTTTTGATCTCCAGGTCCCAGATCGTCCTCTGCAGTGGAGATACCTGGGCTCCAAGAGGCAAAGGGCTGGCTGGTATGAGGCAGAGGGGTCCTGTGTGATCTGGCCAGC